TGACATAAAATACAAAATATCTTGTAAAATATTCAGTTTTCGACAACCTTACCTTAATACTTTTATGCACAGAATAATGAGATGAATCAATTGGTATAAAGAAAATACAAATTGCTTTAAAAAAATATATACAGCTCTATGTTACAAATTACATTTTTTTTTTAAAGATATTTTGTATTTTATGTCAAAATACTGTAACATTTATGTCTCATAACTCAGAAAGTCCTGAACGAAAAAGTACTTAATTATAGTGTTTTGGAAAGTTCTTGAAATAAGCTACAAGAATAGGCAATAAAAAATGGAGGTTCCATTTAAAAATTTTAAAGTAATTTTTAATTGACCTTGACAACGCTATTCAAGGTCACACTAACCTTGCTATGTAATGCGTCTCTTAAAACTCTACAACTTTTGTATGAAATATTTTTTCTCAAAAATGCTTTGTTATCAGAATATTTCAGAGGTCCGGAACTTTTTCTCCACCCTGTATAATATTATACATAATGTGTATAATTTTTATTCTCACTTGATTTTATGAATTCAAAAACTTAAAGATTTTTCTAAGAGTCATCCCTAAGCAATATTAACAATATTTATCACAGTTGAATAGTAATCTACATAAAAAACATATCTACATATAAAAATATGCGATAAAATTTATTTTATATTATTTTTCAGCCACGTTCTCATGAAACAGGAGGCAAATATGGAAATAGTGTGATCGTTCGGCGTTACCGCACTGAATCCGTAATACCAGTTCACGTAGAGCTGACGGCGAATCATCATGGTTACTTTGAGTTCCGCATCTGCGCCATGATATACCGTGATCGGGAAGTGACTCAGGAATGCCTGGACCAACATCTGCTGCGCACTGAGAATGGGTCTACTCGCTACTACCCCGATCCTGGTAACCGAATCTTTGAGGGCTATTACAAACTACCAGAAGGCTTGACCTGCACACAATGCGTCTTTCAGTGGCGATATATCGCTGGCAATAACTGGGGCGATTGCGGCAATGGCACAGGTACACTATTCCCTAATGTTTCAACCAGGGGATCGATTGTGTATCATGCAATGTAGTAAAAATTACAAAAGTGAGCAAATTTACTAAAGTATCTATGACCTTATTGGTCAATAAGCTAGTAAATTTGCTCATTTTTGTAATTTTCACTACATTGCATGATACACAATCGATCCCCAAAATGTATGACATAAAATATATGTATATATGGCTTAGTTTACACCGATTGTTTAGTACGCGTACCAAGTATTAAATCTGCTTCTTTGATTGGTGTAGATTTTACACTAAACGATTTATACCTATCAAAGAAGCAGATTTAGTATTTGGTACGCGTACTAAACAATCGATGTAAACTAAGCCACTAACTGATTGTGCAGCTCGTCAATGCCAACGCTCTTCCACTTTGGCCGCTGTACTTCTATGCGCAAAAGAGGTATATTCTCTCGCTGGACAGAGTATATATCCATTCTGTGTGTCATTGAGATTCTATCAGAACGATAGAAAGTGCTATTATTAGGGGTACAAATAAGTTTTGAAGCGTTTTTTGTAGAACATAAAAAAGTAATTCAAAATTTAAATATTCTCCCGCTCTTTTCCGATTTTGTAGTGTTTATATGGTAACAAAAAAATAACAACCAACTTCACGATATTGTTTGTGTAACCTAAAATTGCAGCAGCTTGAAAACTGCAAACGAGAAACAATTTATTCGGCACTGCATTCGCTATGAATTCCATCAAGGAAAGAGCGCCGCAAAAGCGTGTGCATCAATTTGTTTGACTCTTGAAAACAATGTTGTATCCAAAAGTACGTGTGAATTTTGGTTCAGACGGTTTAAAGAAAGTGATTTCGACGTTAGCGATCGTGAACGTAGCGGAGCCCCTTTCAAGACTGAGGACGATGAATTGCAAGCATTACTCGATGAAAATTCGTCCCAAACGCAAAAAGAGCTTGCATTACAACTGGGAGTAAAGCAACAAACCGTTTCCAACCGTTTACAAAAGATGGGAAAGATTCAGAAAGAGGGAAAGTGGGTACTATACGAATTGAGCCAGAAGAACAAAGATAACCGTGTCGAAATGTGTCTGAATCTGTACAACAAACAGCACAGAAAGTCTTTCCTGTGGAAAATCGTAACGAGTGATGAAAAGTGGATATATTACGATAATCTCAAGCGAAAAAAATCATGGGTAGACCCCGGCCAACCATCCACATCAACGCCAAAGCGGAATATCCACGACCAAAAGGTAATGCTTTGTATATGGTGGGATATGCTAGGGTGTGCTATATTATGAGCTTCTGCAACCACGTGAAACAGTTGATGGTGATCGCTATAGTCGACAACTATTGAGATTGAACGAAGAAATCCGTCGGAAACGTCCATATACTGGCAAAGGATTGCGTCCGGTGAAATTGCTTCATGACAACGCTAGGCCTCATGTCGCTAAAACGGTCAAAGAAACATTATTGACGCTTGGTTGGGATGTTCTACCGCACCCGGCCTATTCGCCAGATATAGCGCCAAGTGATTATCACTTGTTCCGGTCGATGCAAAACGCATTGTCTGAGGTACGCTTCCAGAATATTGAAGAAGTGCGAAAATGAGTCGACGACTTTATTAAATCAAAAGACGAAACTTTCTTCACTGTCGGAATTCGTAAACTGCCTGAAAGATGGCGCAAGGTCATAAATAATAACGGAGAATATTTTGATACTTAAATGTATTATTGAATTTCTGCAAAAAAATCTTGAATTTTCAAAAAAACGCTTTAAAACTTATTTGTACCCCTAATACTTTATTCTATATAATAAGAATGATTCAAGGGTTGCAGTTTCTCTTGCATAACAATCTTACCATTTGCAAGATGGCTTTGCTTACTAAAGCAAAACATGTCTAATCTTTTCCACTTGTTTTTCTCATGATCATCGATCCAAACTTTAACAAAATGCAGTAGAATAAATGAACATATTTCCATTTTTAATTTCAGAATAATATACTTAAACTTTAAATAATCTTAAAATGAAGAAAAATGTACAATTATTCGTACATTTAATCGAATAGTATATTTTTTTCCACATCGTACAAGTGTCACGCTGTGAAATCACGCAATAATGTTTAGGAGCAGTTGGATGCGGCCCTCAGGAGGAGTTTCGAGCTTGTGCCGACATTGCTATCAACGATAACGAGGCAGCATTGCCGCCGAGGCTACCAAAGCAACCAACCATCAGTCCCACGCTCACTTCTACGGACAAATCGCCGACGGATACGAGTCCACGATCCGGGCCACGTTGGCTGTTCAGTGTTGTTGTTGCTGGCACGTGTCTATTGGTAGTGTTGGCCACTATGGCGTTGCTTTACACGTACTATTATCACGCCGGCAGAGCCAAAAAATGGCTCATGGCAAGAAGGCTCCTGGTGCAGGAAAGTCCGCCAGTTGCTCCGCCGAGGCATAAAAAGCATCATCATATCACGCAATTGCAATTGTAGAATTTTATATTTGATTGTCAATGTCGTATTTCTTAAGAGAAAAACAAGACTTTTACAACTCGAAGAAACTTTCGAGCTATAATGGATCTATATGCGATACTGGAGCCATTCAAATTCAAATAACAAGTGTGGAGAAAGTATTTAATTGTACATCTTGAGCAAAATATTAATATTTTCATATTTGGCACTGTACTCTCTTGTACATATATATAGGTCTCAATTATTTTATATTAAAAATATTTATTTTATACAATTATATATTTTTATTATATATTTTATATTTTTCCTCTTATATATATATCTGAATGTAAAATATCATTTGCAACAGAAGGATCGATTTATATTGATATTTTAGATTGATTAATACTAGGTTAGCAATTAATAATTTTTTTTTTGATAATTAATCATTGCACATCTTAAAACACAAGGATGCTGTAGAAAGTGCGCATCTACAGGGTGTTTCATAATGTCCGTGCCAGCGCTCGTGTGCGGGTAGAATGCGGTAAACTGAATAGAAAAGTCCTGTACCATTTTTCAATTTTTGCAATAATAATTGAGATATTAATTAAAAAGGATTGTCGAATAATCGCGCGTTGCACGCGGCTAGACCATGGGCTGTACACTCTAGGCGTGACAGCAACGAGGATCACACGGCAACGAAAAATAACAACATGTATTACTTGCTCTTGCCATGCGTTGTTATTTTTCGTTGCCGTGCGATCTTCGTTGCTATCACGCCTAAAGTGTACAGCCCATAATCTAGCCACGTGCAACGCGCAATTATTCGTCAATCCTTTTTAATTAATATTTCAATTATTATTGCAAAAATTGCAAAACGATAAAGGACTTTTCTATTCAGTTTACCGCACTCTACCCGCACACGAGTGTTGGCACGGACATTATGAAACACCCTGTATATATACATATAGAAAAAAATTTTTTAAGCAGTGCACTGAGATGTGCGCATGCAATTAAATGTAATGTAAGTCTAATGTACGTAATTCAATATTGGCCGTGCTTTCAAGTTTTCGACACACATGTATTGTACAATATATGACATTTTTTACCAAATCAAGCTTTTTAGCAGATCCACTAACGAGTGGTTTTTAACTAGTTTTTATTAGCAGAGTACTGTAACATTAGTAAATAACTATTAACTATATAAATAATTCAAAGTTAACGAGTAGTGATATGGATAGATTGAGAAAAGATATTTCATAAAAGAGAGTAGTAAAGTTACTTTTTATTGAGAAACATATTTCTAAAATCTTGATTATTCATTGATTGTCCGTTTCCATTTCCATTCGAAGCTGCACTGCTATTACCGTTATTCGTTTTAATATTACGAGGTATCATAGATAGCAAAGTCTTAGGTACTCCAAACGCTGTACGGCTCGTTATTGTTCCGCCTAATGACCTGACTTGTCCTGTGGCTTCTTCCATCATTTGACCTTTCTTGCGATCAGGTGGTTGACTTATTGCAACACTGATCACTTTGTCCTGAATCTTCATACCATCCGTACTTAAAAGGGCTTTTGCAGCGGTTGCTTCGTCGTGGTACTCAACATAAGCCAAACCCTTTGAGTGTCCATTGCGGTAAGTAACCAGACGAACTTCTTTCAAATCTCCATGAACTTTAAATATTTCCTCAAGTTGCTCTTTTGTTGTCACAAGCGAAAGTCCTGCAAAATGCAATCAAATATTTCTATTGGTGTAAGAATTAAGGAAATATTGAAAAATTCGAAAAATTTAGTGATACAATTTAAGTAGTAGTCTTGTGTAAATAAATGTGAGAACCAATTAGTTCAAAGAGAGAAACAATTGTTTGCAACTCGTTGTATGTAATTGTAATTTATGTAAAAATTTTATCTTACCCTTAACAAAAAGTTTATTCTTTTCAAGTGTAGAGTTGTACTTGAATCCGGAACTTCTGGTACTCTTGTTAGGATCGCATCTAGAAATGAACATGGGACGTCCATTTATGGGCGTTCTATCTAATTTTAAAGCTTCTTCTACAGCTTCCTATAAAATAATAAGTATCAAAACACTGTCTTTTTTAACTTAAACATTTTAAAAATTATATTATTTTTATTTAATTAATAAAATTATTAATAAAATTATTAATTAATAAAATAATACATACTACATTGCTCAACTGTACATAGCAATATCCTTTGCTACGCCCTTTGTAATCCTTGATCATTTTGAATAATGTTATCGGATTAACTGACTTCAGAGCTGTTTTTATTTCGTCTTCAGTCGCTGTATAATCTAAATTACTGACAAAAACTGTAACGTTATTATCTATTTCATGCCGAGTATCTTTATCGTCTGTATCTTTATCTTCTGTTGATTTGAAACCAGGTGGTGGTGCAATTTTTTGTTTTGATTCCTCTTGATTTGTGTCATTCGTGATTCTACCGCCAATATTTAAATGACCCTTCCATAATTTTGGTTTTACTTTCACATCAGTTTTCACAATTTTTGACGAAAAAGTTCCCAAATCTTTCCATTTGCCAATATCATCAGGTATCAATTTTCTTTTATTTGCTTTTTTATTTTGCATAGATGACTCACTGAAGGGAGCTTGTTGCGCCTTTTGCCTGTCCTCCATAACTTTATTAAGCTTCTCTTTCGTTTTTGCCTCACAGAATTCTATGTGTTTTAGAGTTCCTTCATCACGTTCAAAATCTATCCATGCATTTGCTATACTTTCTGGCCAATCTTTTACAGAAGACAAGGCTTTCTGTAACAATTTCCTTAAATGCTTTGTATCTCCATAACATCTGCAAGTCAATTAAAAGATTATTCCAAAAAAATAAGAATGCAAAGTTACAGAGACTAGTGAATATTAGTAATAAAATTATCATCTATTATAAACAGAATTACCTTTCTAACGATATATATTCTAACCAATAAGAAGCTGTTGCAGAATGTCCTTGTGAAAGGATATCAGCCCACAATATTCTAGCCTTTTCCATATTATTCGCATGGATTGCTTCAGTTCTTGCCCAGAACTGCAAAATGGTGCAATTGGGATCGCCATCTAATCCAAAATACTTAGCCAAATATTCGCATGCTCTATTGAATGTATTACGAATTACTTCTAAACGTTTTTCTTCTTCTACTTCATCAGAACATTGCCCAATTCTACGTCGCAAATATTCTAGATATGTAATCCACAAATTTCGATATTCTTCCGCTGTTGAGAAACCAACAGATAAAGCGTCCTCCAACAATTTTTGTGTTTCTAATATAGATCTTTCCCATTTTTCATACAATCTTATCCATTTTTGCCAAATTCTTGAGCACCATGGAATATTCCTCGACGCTCTTTGATAAACCAGATCTATCACGGATTCAATCTTTATTGTATCTTCCAGATAAGTAAGATAATCATACCAAATTGAAACCTCTAAGCTCAGATCAGTTATTGCTCTTTCATATAGAATTATAATACGTCCTGGATCGTGTTGCTGTTTTTCATATAGTAAATATCCTTTATAAGCATCGAGAAGCTCGCTTTCACCTTGTGCGGAGATGAGTTTTTCTTCATAAGGAAGAAGTAAGTTTAATTTTGCAAAAGCTTCTTCATATCCTCTCAAAACGATATTGTCATCGATAACTGCTTCCGCACCATCTCCCACCCGCCATGATTGGAATTCTTCATATGTTTTATCCATGTCCAATAGAGGACATGCTAATTGACGTCGAAATAAGTTACCAATACATCCCAATTGTTCTTTCTTTTCTGCTACATTTACAGTATCAATCTATAAACATATACATTAAATAGTTATTAGAAAAAAAAGAAAAACAGTGCACTTATAATGCAATTATAATTTGACTGTAAAAGTTTATCCCGAGTATATATTTCTACATTTACTTCAAAATCTTACCGATGCAAATAAAACAATTTCAAATTCTCGAAAAGCTTCCCATATTATTGCACCTTTGACAGTATGCAATCCAATAGCAGTTAGTGCACGTTCAAAAAGTTGACGAACATTATTAATTGCATCTTTTCCTGTCCCCATATTTCCAATAGTAAACTGCAAATATTCCAACCATACTTCCACAGCTAAAAAATATGGTATATATTATAGTATTGTCTCTTAATGTTAATGTTAAAGTATTTATCTATATAAATAATCAATCTTAAACTTGATACAATAAAGTAAAAGCTTTACACGCATAATCTTTGACAGCTCTCTCGCATAATTTTACTATTTCAGTCTTCTGCTCCCCTGTGATCGCTAACTTGATCTCATCACGCATCCAAGAAAGCCAAAGTTCAGGACTCAACGGATACAAATTGCTCATATTATCTCTAGCAATTCGCAGGCGATCCAACTCGCCCATTGTCTGCAACTTGTTGATCAGGGTTACGTGACTGACATAGTCGTATGCATTTTCTGTCAAAGAAGCCTGTAAAGATTTCACTTCCGCTTCATCAACATTCTCCTCGTCGTCGCTGTCAAATTCACTCTCATCATCCATCTTCTCGATAATTTTCTCTTCCGTTTCACTCGTCATTGTCTCTTCTTCAATTTCGTTTGACGCTTTTCGAAACGCTTTTTCGTTATTTTCTTCATTTGCAACATCCATCTCCATCTTTCTCTCGAAATTCCAACGCAATATGATTTTTACAATTTGCAGATGCAACCAGCTAACTGTTTTGTAATAATTAAAAAATCACTGTTGACTATTAAATTAATACTTTTCAATGCCGAAGGTTATGTTTACATAGCAATTGAAGTAGAAATCAAGACTGTGTTCCGAAATTCACTGCCAGTACTGAAAATCTACAGTTTACGTAACGTATATTGTAGATTTTTAGTACTGGCAGTGGCTTAGTTTACATCGATTGTTTAGTACACGTCCCAAGTACTAAATCTGCTTCTCCGATAGGTATTAATCGTTTAGTGTAAAATCTGCGCCAATCAAAGAAGCAGATTTAGTACTTAGTACGCGTACTAAACAATCGGTGTAAACTAAGCCAGTGAATTTCGGAACGCAGCCCAAGAGGTCTGTTCTTTATAGCTAGTTCAGCTATAAAGAACCATTGAGTAAAAAGAAACAGGAAAGAGCATATACTAGCCAGGACTAGGTAAATCCGCGGACGGATGTACGTCATGGCAGCCATCTTGAGCGACCACTTTTTGAAAGTGAGAGGGAATGCTCGAGCATTGCGGCAAGCGGCATACCGTACGCCGTACGCATTAATATGCAGTGTATAATCTTTTATGCAACAGTGTATGCAAATAAACGATCAAAATGGTATACTGTAGAGCTTGTGGCATAACAGCAGCAGCTCGAAATCATGGAATAACGTTTCATCGGTTAGTATTATCAACAATAATGAGATTTTTATTTTGGAGATTATAATCATATGTATAGTATTGTGAAATTGTAGATTCACAATAATTACTAAATAATTTTCACTCACAAACAGGTTACCGAAAAATCCGGATCAAAGAAATGCATGGATAAATTTTTGTAAGGACGAAGGATTTAATATAAATTTAGATTTTAGATTTTAACATTGCTCTTATGGAAATACTGCACGAGTGCAATCTCAATGTAAAACGCCATTAAAATTTGGTATTATTGTTGCATATTATAGTTATTTTCTTTTAATTGCACATTATTTCCTAATTAAACATAACAAGTCATTCAATATTGGCGCCCTTGAGCGGCTATCTTGAGCGACCACTTTATATAGTCACTTCCGTCCGCACTTTTAAGACCAAACGCTCCCTCCTGTTTCTTTTTACTCAATGCTTGCAATAACTCGTACCGAAAAATGGGACGCAACGCATTTTTTCGTTTGAGCTTTTTATTCGAGTTTTGCATCCAAATTCAGTGTGTACATGATCCGAGTTCTAGTAACTTTCCCTCAGTCCGAGATCTCGGACCAAGTTCTAGTATCGTGGACACAAGGCTTTATGCCCTATCTACACCGAAGGATAATCCTACTTGTGGCTCATCCGAGCGAGTAATGTAGACACGGACTAAGGAATAGAGGGACGGTGCACAAGCTGTACCGGGGGAGCACGTTTGCGACGGGGGGGCCGCCATATTCGTTTAGTAATCACTACACATAGAACTCACTATTTGCGTATATGTGAGAAATGAAAGTCAGATCCTGCGCACAATAAACAAAATAGGAAATAGAAATAGAAATAATTATTAAATATTAGAAATAAGAAATTGGAATAATTTATTTTAAAAATAAAAAAATAAAAAAATTAATGCATGAATTAAGAAATAAGAATTGGAACTAATTAATATATTTTATTCTCTTGTTAGATGTAAAATAATTTCTCTTTTTAATATTAAATGATTATTGCTATTTCTAATATTTTGTCTACTGTATGCAGAGCCTCAGAGTAATAAAAGTTAAAGTATTTTATAAAATTTATAGTACAAAAATAATAAAATCGCCTAATCTCTTTACGCTTGTCACTCGTTATGTCTAGTGGCACCACTACACGAGCGTAACCATTGGTCTGTTTTTTATAGCTGAACTGGCTGCACTAGTTCAGAGTTTATCTTTCTCCTTCCAATGTGGAGGGAAAAAGATAAACTCTGAACTAGTACAGCCAGTTCAGCTATAAAGAACAGACCTCATGTCACAGACACAGAATCTCTGTGTGAGAATCGCTACATCAATATGGCGAAAAGCAGTCCCCCCCGCATCAAAATCAAAATCTTGAAATTTAGGGTACAATTTACGAAAAATTACGGCATAATGTAAAATGAACAAAGGTATACATTTTTAATTAAATTTTTAAAGAAATTTATGTTAAATTTTTCTTTAATTTTGTGATTTTTGATAATAAAAATATATTTTATTAAACTTTAATTCCTTCTCATATTTTTATTATCAAAAATCACAAAATTAAAGAAAAATTT